GCAGAGAGCGGAGCGCTGAGCCCACGGGAGCGAGGGAGCTGTCCTGGGGAAGGGGGTGCCAAGTCAGGGACCCAAGCCCTTCGTTCCCATTCACTCGCTCCAGGAGCATCGGGGACTCACCAGGCCCTGTGGTGTGGTGTGTGTGGCGTGGCCGACAGCCGGGTGGACACCGTCCCCCACAGGGCCCACGGAAGCCCAGGGAAGGGCAACTGAGGACGGATGAGGGGCTCCGGGTGCACCAGCCCCAAGCCCGCAGCCTGCAAATCCCCTCAGCGCGGAGGTCCCATCAGACCGGGTGCTGAGGCTTCTCCCCGAGATACAATTCGCATAACATCAAACTCACCAGTTTAGAGCATTTTGAAGGACACAATTCATTGGGTTTTAGTAGAGTCACAGAATCGTACGACCATCACCCCTGTCTGCTTCCAGAATATTCCCATCACCCCAAAGGACCCCGCTCACATCCCCTCTCTCTGCCTGGCACGGGCAGCCCCACCCATCCTGGGGCCTCTGTCTCTCCAAGTTGGCTGCGTTCTCTGGCTCTAATTTTCATCATTTACATTTGTATTTTTGTATTTTATATATTGAATTTAGATTTTTCCTCTAGGCCTTCAATTGTATGACCATAGAATTCATATGAACTTTTCTTTTAAAATATTTTTTAACTAGTTATTTATTTTGAGAGAGAGAGAGAGAGAGAGAGAGAGAGAGAATGAGGGAGGGGCGTAGAGGGGAGAGTATCCCAAGCAGGCTCCATGCTGTCAGCACAGAGCCCGACGCAGGGCTCGAACTCATGAACCGTGAGATCATGACCTGAGCCGAAATCAAGAGCCAGACGCTCAACCAACCGAGCCGCTCAGGTGCCCCATGGTTTACTCCGAGGATGTAATGCAGACAGTCTAGCTGTCTTCCAAAACCCATTCTCCCCTCTTGTTTTGGGAATGGAACCTTCCCTTTTAACAGGGCACACTCCCCCCCCCCCCAAGATAAAAACTACAACTCCCAGCATTCTTTGAGCCAGGCATAACCATGTGACTGAGTGCTGGCCAAGGAGACAGGATAGGGATAGGGGCAAGCAGCAGAAGTGGGCAGTGAGATCAGAAGTGACAGGGGCAAGGTGGGGAGCCCTCGCCCCAGGATCGTGGAGGGGCGAGTGGATGGAGCCCGGGGTCTCATGCCACCGCCGAGCCCAGACCTGCGTGTTGGAAACGAACTTTGTGTGACTCCACCCTTCTGTTGGTTCTCTGCCATGCAGCTAAATCCATTCTCTAAGACAACGTGTGATTTAAGAGCGTGTGTCTTACTTTCCAAATGGTAAAGGGGTTTTTCCTGGGGGGAGGCAGGGAGGAAGCTGTCACAATTTCCTGAATTATTTCTAATTTTCCTAGACTATGGCCAGAGATAATCTCAACCTTTTAAAATTTTCTCAAGGTTTGACAAAACGCTCAATGGATCTTGGAGAGAATGTGTAATCTCCCTCTCTCTCT